TGGAGCCCGGCAGGTCGAGGCTGCGGTGGCCGGGAGTGGCCACTGCTCTCCAGTCTGGGCAATAGAGTGAGACTCCAACTCAAAAAAAAAAAATCTTCCCTTACATGCTCACTCACATACACATGTACACGTTTGGGTTCATTGTTCTCTCTGCAAAAACAAGCCCCGCAGCTGGCTTTCCCCCAGGGCTGGGGGTCTCACCACCTCGTGATCTGAGAAGCCGGTCTGGAGTCCAGCCTGACTTTCGAAATGCAGTCGTCCGGCTCTGCGCTGCCCTCAGCTCTGCCCTCCGGCGCTCTGCCTTGCGGTCTGTGCGTCCTCGGTTTCTGTGAGGCGCCCCCAGCCCAGCCTTTGCCAGCGTCACCCTTGCGCGTCTCTGGACCGGCGAGCCCAAGTGGCGCTTGTGACCACATCCCAGCATCTCCCGCCAGCCAGCCAGGCGTGCTTCTGGGTAACGTGCCAACGCGCCAGCCATTGCTCCTGAGTCAGAGGGGACACTCTGGTTTGCAGAGTGACTTTGTCCCGGTTCCCCGGTTCCCCGGCCCCCCCGCCCTCCCCCTCAGTCTCCTCCTGCCTTGTCTGTCCCTGGGTGGGAACCCTGTGGTTGCTTCTCCGTGTGTCCCCGTGGACAGTAGCGGGGCAGGGGTGGCACCGGGGCCCGCCCTGCGACTTCACTGTCTCGGGACTCTCTTGTGTGCTCTGGGTCGGGGGCTGCTGGGTTGCCTCCCGCGCCTGTGCTACTGGGGGTACCCAAGGTCCCTGCTGGGAATGCTCGCCACTGGGCAAAGGAGGAGCTGTGCTGATCTGGGGCCCAGGGGCTGCGGGCCCGGCCTGGGTGTGGGGCCCACTGGAGGGAGAGCTGGCGAGTGGGCCCTTGGTGACCACACAGGGAGAGAAGCTCCCGGTTTGCGCCCGGAGGGCCCCTCTGGCTCGAGCAGGGCTCCCACAGGGGGTGGGGGGCTCTTCCTCCTGGGTGTCCGAGGCAGGGCGGGCTGGATGAGGGGACGTGGGAGGTGTCCCTCTGTGGGGTCCCCTGGAGACACGTCCCTGCAGAGGGCAGGGCCTCCCAGGCTCGGCTCTGGACTAGGGGCCGGCCTGCTAGAGCAGGAGGGAGTCAGAGCGTCCTGGGCTCCCGCGGGCGGGCAGGGTCGCGTCCTGGCGGGGCTGCCCCGCCCCTCTGACCACCGTCCTGCAGAGCCTGTCTCCAGGCCTGAGCAGAGACCGCACGAGGTCGCAGAGGCAGCGGCCCCCGGCCCCGCCCCCCGTCCTGCCGGCCTGCGTGTGGTCAGCCGTGACAGTGGCGCCTCTGCATTCCCCCCCAGGGCGCCGCTGGCCTGGAGACGCCCGCGCCTGAGGAGGTCCGGTGCCCCGCAGGGCCCCTGGCAGCTACTCCCGGGGAAGGTTCTGAAAGAGATGGTGGCCGTCCCCTAGGGGCCCGGGCGGCGGCAGGGGCTCCCAGGCGTGGCCAGTCCCCCGCCCACCATGCTGCAGTGTCGGCCGGCCCAGGAGTTCAGCTTCGGCCCCCGGGCCCTGAAGGACGCCCTGGTCTCCACCAACGCGGCTCTGCAGCGCCTCTACGTCTCGGCCTTCTCCCCCGCCGAGCGGCTCTTCCTGTCGGAGGCCTACAACCCCCAGAGGACCCTCTTCTGCACGCTGCTCGTCCACTCGGCCTTCGACTGGCTCCTGAGCCGCCCGGAGGCCCTGGAGGACTTCGAGGCCTTCCACGCCTCTCTGCAGCACCGGAGGCAGAGCCTGGCCCGGAAGCACATTTACCTGCAGCCGATAGGTACGGGGTGGGCCCTGGAGCCGGCAGGACCCGCCTGGGGGACCAGGCCTGTGTGTAGCGCAAGGTGAGGGGGCGGCACTCGGGCCCCAGGCGGGCGCGAGACGCGGAAGGATGGCCCTGGCCTGGTGGGGACTCGGGGCGGAGGCAGGGAGGCCTGCTTGGGTCTAGACTTCCTCCCAGCCCACCACTGTCCTGCGGCAGGACCACCTCACACACAGGGGCCGTCCCCTTCAGATGTGCAGGGCCCTGCTTGCCTCTGTGGAGACTAGGGCTGTCCCAGGCACTCTACTGTGTGCTTTGTAGAGGTCACTTCCTCCTCGGGGTGCTGAGATGAGGATCCGCCCATTTCACAGGTGAGGAGACGGAGGCTGGGAGCAGTCACTTGGCCTCCCCGAGTTGCAGAGCTGGTCACTGGCGGGGGCAGGGGTGGAACGCAGGTCCGTCTGACCCTGCGGCTGGGATCTCATCCCTTATGCTGTACCGGGAGGCACCAGGCTGGGCAGAGCGGGGGATTCGGGGGCCACGGCGAGCTCTCTGGCCTCCAGAGCCCTTTGGCAGAGACTGAGGGACCCGGGGTGGACTGACCGCTGAGACTACAGGCACCTGCGCTCACAGGGAAAGGCTCAGCCAGGGGTAGGGAGGGTGAGGGGCTGGGCTGGCCACTGTGCCTCTTGGCATGCCCGGGGCAGGGTGGTGGCACCCTGGCAGAGAGGGCACAAGGACAGGTGGCACTTGGCTTTGGAGAGGAGGAAAGGTCTGGCGCTCAGCTTCTGAGACGCCAGCGTGCCACGTCATCCCGAGGCTGGCATCTCCACGGAAGGCCAGGGTGCCGGATGCTGGCTGGCCTCATCCCGCGAAGGCTCGTCGCCAGCTCCAGGGGTCCACAGGGCTCCTCCTTCCCCCAGGGACCCAAGTCCCGTGGGGTGTGCTGGTCTCGCTCTCCACTACGCCACAGCCAAGCTGCCATCTCTGTCTCCAGTGTAGGGCAGCCTGTCCCGCTCGCCTGGGCACACGCACATCAGGCTAAAGCACAGGGTCTGGGCCGGGAGGCCTGGCTGGGCTCAGGCTCTGTGTTTCTACCCAGCTCTGGGGCGGGCCCATGCTGCTGGCCTGGGGACCCCATAACGACTCTCTCACTGGCCTCTCGGCCTCCACCCTTGGTCTGTGTCCATCCGTCCTCCTGACGTGTGATCTGGTGTGTCCAGTGGCTCCTCCCTGGGAGGCCCTCGCTGCTTCGACCTGTGTCCATGTCCTGCTCTGATCTAAGCAGGCTGGATTTTTGCAGCCACGAACTCTGGCTCCCTGCCCGCTCCTGCCAGTGGCTCTCACCTGGTCAACACAGTCCCTTGTGCTTACCCTAGAACTCCCCACCCTGTGACAAAGTCCTACCCGCCCCCTCCTTCTGGCTGGCCAGTGCCCATGGGGGAGGGGTAGTGACAGGTAGGTGGGTGGCACCGTGGGGGGATAGTGACAGGTAGGCGGGTGGCACCGTGGGGTTAACGGCACTGCTCTGCCTGCAGATCTGAGTGAGGGGCCGGCGGGATGCTCCCTGCTGAACCATCTGTGCAGCTGCACAGAGGCCTTCTTCCTGGGCCTGAGGGTCAAGTGCCTGCCCTCGGTGGCAGCCGCGTCCATCCGCTGCTTCTCACGCCCCAGTCGGGACTCTGACAGGGTCCAGCTCCACACGGGTGAGTGCGGACAATGGGCACAGCTCGGGCCAAGGCCGGCCGGGCCCCTGAAGCTCAGCAGAAGGTCCTTTCCAGAGGAAGAGGTGGGAGGAAAGAAAGCTTTTTGGTGGGGAACCTCTATTCCCCAGGCTTTTGGAAAGGAAGGCTGAAACAGGGGGTTCCTTTTCCCACTCAGAATTGGATCTAACCCTACAGCCCAGTGTCCAGGAGAAAACTCCAGAGCATGCAGAGCAGGTGCAGGGAGCTCCTTTAAGGTCACTCTGCACCTCTCCAGCCTTCTGTCTTTGCAGAGCACTTTATAAACGTCTTAAAGACCCCTAGCCCCCAAGTCCTTGGCCCCTTCCTTGCAGGTCACTGGCAGCTGGAGACAGTGAAACTGGGTTGAGATGATCTGATGAACTGAGGGACCTCAAATGGACAGGCAACCCAGGCTCCAGTTTGGGGAAGTCACCAGGAAGGTCTAGGGCTCACATTGTTTGGCTAACATTGGATCTGGAATGGGTGGATGGACATCTTTCCTCAGAAATATGCCATTGCCTCTTTCTACAAATATTGTTTCTGACCCATTCTTTCTCCTCTTCAACTTATTCTTCTCTCTATATCTTTTTTCCTCTGTATTTTCAATCTTGTTCGAGCATTCGTGTTTTAGTCTCAGTTTATTTCCATCCTCCAGCTTACTAACTCTCTCTGTAGCCACATCTAAGGTGTGCTTAAACCTATGTATTGAGTTCCTAATTTCAGTTGTCATATTTTTCAGTTCTATGGTTTCTAGTGGATTCTTTTTAAATTAGCAGAGCCACTTTTTAAAATGGGTTCCAGTTCCCTGCTAAATTCTTAAACTTCAGCATTTTTAAACCATCAGTCTGTGTCTGATGGTTTCACTAGTTGGAGTGCCCATGTGGCTGTATTTCTGCATTTTATCTCAGTCGTCTTGCCTCATTGTGTGACCTGCTATTTTTTATTGTTAGTTGGGCATTTTGTTTGAAAAATTAGTTTAACTTTTAGGAGAATTTTTGACCTGGGATAATACTTTACAGGGGATTTTCTCTCCCTCTGCCGGGTACCTAAGAGGTGACTGTCTGGGACAAAGATGTGAAACTTTTTTTTTCTTTTTAGCTTAGAAAATATAGTTTATTTAAAAGGGAGAGAGAGATAGAGAGAGAGAGAGAGAGAAGATTCACCTCCCCAAGGTAGGAAGGGGGCCAAAGCCAGGAAACATGGCCTGGCCATAGCTCAAAGAGCACATGGCCACACCACAGCTTAGCAAGGCAACGGCCAAAATGTGGAACTTTTCTGGGTCATTCTGATGATCTTCAGGAGTACAGTCTGTATCCCCCCACCCCAGGGCATGGTACTGGGAAGCCCCTCAGACTACTGCCAGGAAAGAAAATGGGTTGAAAAAGATGAGAGCTGGTGGAACCTGGGGGCTATGATGGGTTGCATTCCTGTGGTCGGGTTAACATGGTTGAGGTCCCTGTACTGGTTTCCTGGGGCTGCCATTACGAAGCACCACGGACAGAGTGGCTTACACATTGGATGTTTCTGGTTTAATGGTTCTGTAGGCCAGAGCCTGAGACCTGTGCATGGGCAGGGCTGCATGCCCCAAAGACCCCAGGGGAGGATCTCTCCTGCCGGTTGCTGGCAGCCTTGGGACCTCCTTGGTTTGCAGACCTGTCATTCCAACCTCTGCCTCTGTCTTCACATGGCCTTCTCCCCATGTGTCTCTGTGTTTCTTCTAAGACACCCGTCGTTGGAAATTTTGGGCAATGCCCAAAGCCCACAATTGTGGCTCACACTGCATTTTATTTTTTTGAGGCAGGGTACGGATCATGGCTCACTGCTGCCCTGACCTCCTAGGTTCCCGTGATCCCAAGTAGCTGGGACTACAGGTGCACCCCACCATGCCTGGCTAATTTTTCCTTTTTCTTTTTTTTTTTTGTAGAGATGAAGTCTCACTATGTTACCCAGGCTGGTCTCGAACTCCTGGCTCAAGTGAGTCTCCTCAGCCTCCCAAAGTGTTGCAATTACAAGCATGAGCCACCATGCCTGGCACATCAGTGTCCCTCATTTTTTTTTTTTTTGAGTTGGAGTCTCACTGTCGCCCAGACTGGAGTGCAGTGGCCGCTCCCGGCCACCGTAGCCTCGCCTGCTGGGCTCCGGCGATCCTTCTGCCTCAGCCTTCCAAGTAGCCGGAACTCCAGGCATGCGCTACCATGCCCGGCTGATTTTTTGATTTATTGTAGAGATGAGGTCTCGCTGCTCAGGCGGGTCTCGAACCCGCGGGCTCAGGCAATCCACTCACCTTAGCCTCCCAAAGGCGCGGGATTACAGTCTGAGCCACCGAGCCCGGCAGTGTCCCTCATTTTAAAGTAAAAAGAAACACGATTACTGGCTAAGCATGGATCGCCTAAGCCCAGGAGATTGAGACTGCAATGAGCCGTGATTGTGCCACCGCACTCCAGCCTGGGTGACAGAGTGAGACTGATTAAAAAAAAAAAAAAGTTACACATGTGGCTCACGCGGGATGTCTGTGGGCCAGTGTTGCCTGCAACCGCGGTATCTCACAATCCCCATCTCAGCGCCTCATTCCAGCACCCCTTCCAGTGTCGCCACAGCTCCCTGGCACCCGACTCTGTGCCTGTCAGGAAGCCTGGACGTCTTGTCCTCTCCCCAGGCTCTGAGTCCGTGACTCCTGGTGACCACCCCCTGGCCATGCCCCTCTCCCACCAGTATCCACACTGGTGAGACCCAACCCCCCCTGCCTGCAGCTGAATGCCACAGGAGGGGGTCTCTTCTTAGAGGCCGACCACCAGCCCTGGGGTGTCCCTGGCCCCCCAGCTACCTTCTTTGATATGTTCTGCTGAGGAAGTACAATCCTTCCACACACCCCCTCCTGCATTGGGGCTCCCAGGGCGGGGGGGCTTCCCTCCAGTTCTGCTGACCCCGCAGCCCCCCCGTGGTCCCTGCCACCCTGGTCCCTGCCACTGTGGTCCCTGCGCCATCCGCTCGAAGATCCCCTGACCCCCTTCCAGCAGGCTTCCTTCCTGTGTCAGAGCCAGGTGTGCCGGTGTTCCTCCGGCTTCGACGCCTCCTTGCCCGCAGCCCCTCAGGCCCACCCATCCATCTGCTCCTTCGGGGGCGAAACTCCCGGGAAGCGTCTCCCTCTGCTGCCTGTCTGCATCCTCGCCTCCCTCCCTGCCGTCACCCCGGGCCCTCTCCGGCTTCCGGGCCCTCAGCGGCCGTCCTGCCACCTCCATCCTCGACGTCCTCTCGCCCAGCCTGTCCCTGGCCTCTCCAGCCGGGGCTGGGTCACTTCCTGGCCTCCTGGCTGCGGCTGCGCTGATGCCACGGCTGGCTAACTGACCCACTTAGGATCTCTCAGTGCTGGGATCAGCGCTAACGTCAAGGGCGGCAGAGCTGGTTCTTTCTGGAGGCTCCGGGGCGGGTCTGTTTCCCGTCTTTTCCAGCTCCTAGGGGTGGCCGTATTCCCTGGCTGGTGACCCCCTCCATCAGCCTCAGAGCCAGCCGGGCAGCACCGCCAGGTGTCCCACGCTGACCTGAGGACTCTCGTGATGACAGCGGGCTCACCTGGCTCACCTGGAATCATCTCCCCCTCCCAAGGTGGTTAATCAGTCGCAGTCCCTTTGCCATGTGGGGTAACAGACTCCACAGGTCCTGGGGGCCGGGACGTGGGCGTCTTGGGGGCCGTTGCTCAGACGCCAGGGAAGCCTGTCCCTCCCAGAGCTGCCATGACACCAGCTCGCAGGCCCAGCTGCCTTTCCGGCGCCGCCCCCAGGGGTGTGGATGGGCATCTCAGCCACACCATGTCCGCATCACCAGATGACCCGGGCTGGCCTGATGCCCGCCGAGGCCCAGGCCCGAAGCCCTCACCCGGCGCGGTGCAGCTTGGTCGCCCAGAGTCCTCGGCCTCAGTCCAGATGCCACAGCTCGCATCTGCCTTCGGGAAGGGCTGCTCCCAGGCAGAGGAAGAGGATGGGGGGCGTGCCTGCCTGCGCCCAGGGCCAGAAGACGGGGTCCCCAGCCGCCTCCTGTCCCTGTCCCTGTCCCCGCAGACGGCATCCTGTCTTTCTTGAAGAGCAACAAGCCGGGGGACGCCCTGTGCGTGCTGGGCCTCACGCTGTCTGACCTGTATCCCCACGAGACCTGGAGCTTTACCTTCGGCAAGTTCCTTCCAGGGCACGGTGAGCCGGGGCCCCGCAACTGTGCCTGGGGGAGGGGAGGGAAGGGTGCAGCCGCAGGGCCTCCCAGGCCGGGTGTGTCCTCGGCCAGGGTGGGGTGGTCAGCGAGGGTGGGGTGGGTTTGGCCGTGGGCTCCCCAAGGCCAAGGCTGTTCCAAGCCTCTTCTCTCTGCCTCTCCCCAGAAGTGGGCGTCTGCAGCTTTGCCCGGTTCTCAGGGGCATTCCCGAAGTCGGCGCCCAGGACCCCCGATCCGGCCCTCGGGGAAGTGGCGGCCGACGGCCCCGAGGCCCCCCTGCGGGACGGGGGCTGGGCCCTGTGTTTCAGTGTCCTGGGGCTGGTCCAGTGCTGCAAGGTGGGTGTGGAGAGGAGGGCCGGGCACTGCCCGTGGGGCGGGGAAGGCGGGGGGGGGGGCGGGAGGAGCTGCAAGACCCAGGACAGGGACTCGGACAGCAGGACATGGGGCCGGGTGCTGGCTGGCCTTTGGCCTGTGTGTCTGGCCGGTCGCACCGTCTGGCCCTCGCTGTGAGGAACATGATGGAGTGAGAAAAGCAAGGCTCAGAGATGCCCATGTTTTGGCCAAGGCCACACAGCTGTGAAGTGGCAGGGTTGGGGTTAGAACCCTTGTCTGTCTGGCTCCCGAGCCTCCATGGGGCAGTGCCTGAGCTGCCCGTGGGCAGCCAGGAAGCCTGAGTCAGCGCCAGGGTGGGTGCGGTGGGGGGAGGGTACTTGGACCACCTCCTGGCACTCTGGCCTCACCCAGGACAGCAGGCCCCTGGAGGGGCTTCGTCTCGGCCCTGCCAGGGCTGCCCTGGGGTCTCAGGATCTGCAGGGTGGCGGGCCAGGCTGCGAGGCCAGGCGTGGACGACCTCCCCTGACCCCCCAGGTCACATGCCACGAGCTCTGCCACCTCCTGGGCCTGGGGAACTGCCGCTGGCTCCGCTGCCTCATGCAGGGCGCGCTCAGCCTGGACGAGGCCCTGCGGCGGCCCCTGGACCTGTGTCCCATCTGTCTGCGGAAGCTGCAGCACGTCCTGGGCTTCAGGCTCGTCGAGAGGTACCAGGTGAGTCGCCTACCTTGGCACTGGGAGGGCAGGGGCCCGTGAATGCCCCCCGAAGCCACGCGGGCGCAGAGTGGGACACAGGTGTCGGTAACTTCCTGGGTCCCAAGCAGAGCGGACCCCTGGGAGTCAACGGACCCGCGTTTGTGTCGAGCCCCTCCGGGATCTCACGGGCGTCGCTGGCAGCGGGTCGAGTCCAGCCTGGCACCGGTGAGCACCCGGTCACCAGGGCGACCATGCGGTGGCCGCGGGGTGGGGGAGGGCGGAGCGGCTGACAGCCCTTCTGTCGACAAGAAGGCTGCCCCTGGCGCAGGCCCACGGGTGGGTGTCTCCCCGGAGTGGCTTCCTCCCGTGGTGGATGGTGGGCCCCCACCGTCCGGAGGCAGTGCGGGCCATCCCTCTCCCTGCCCCCGGCGGAGGCGGGCCGGACGCAACAAGGCTGCCCTGGCGGGCGCTGCCTCTTCTGCCCCGACCGGGCGGCGGCTGCCCTCTAGTGTTGAGCTCGGGGAGGTGCGGGCGCTTCTCCCTCCCGGGAAAGATGTTTGCAGACTTGGGAGATTTTTGAGTTCAGAGTACAAAGGCAGGTGGCTATTTTTCTCAAAACCCACCTTTGGCTGAAAACTATTTGAAAGTTGTTCCTAAGTGAAGGCACGAGTGCTGTCCACGAAGTGGCTCCAGCTTCCTCTTAAGACCCCATTTTTTGTTTTGTTTTGAATTGGAGTCTCACTCCGTCGCCCAGGCTGGAGTGCAGTGGCATGCTCATGGCCACCGCAGCCTCGACCCTCTGGGCCCTGGCGAGCCTCCCGCCTCAGCCTTCCAAGTGGCCGGAACTACAGGCGCACGCTACCACGCCCGGCTAATTTTTGATTATTGTATAGACGAGCTCTCGCCAAGTCGCCCGGGTTGGTCTCGAACCTGCGGGCTCAGGCAATCCACTCGCCTCGGCCTCCCAAAGTGCTGGGAGGAAAGGCTGAGCCATCAAGTCTGGCCTGACCCCAAGTTTTAAGAGACCCTATCTGTGTGGTCCTGGGCAGCCTGTGCTGTCGGCTTCTGGTGCCATGTGCAGGCGCTTGAGTCTAACAGGGGGTGGTTCTCAGACTGAGCTTGCCTGACCTGGAGGAGCTGCATTTTGCCTGGGTCCCCAGGGCATGCTGCTGGCAGCCACCCTCTCTTTGAGCACCCCTGAAATAGAGGCTGGGCTTTTCCGGAACACAGCTGCCTTCCTGAGAGGCACAACTCTGGTGACTCTGGCAGTGAAGAGAACTCTAAGGCCACTGGCTGGGCAGGTGCATCTCAGTGGCTCATCTCACGGGGGTGCAGGTGGCATGGTCGCTGGCACCTGAGCTCGCCTCCATGCAGGGTCAAAGGGCAGCTCATAGCACCTCCACGAGTCCCTGTGGTGGGCGGTGAGGGGCGGCTCGGTCTGCAGAAAGGGTTGTCACTTCTCGTTTTATGTCCTTCACTTGGGGTCTTGCTCAATGGCCCGAAATGAGCTTCTGGGACTTTTACACCCCTCACTCCCCACCCTGACCGGATGGGCCTCTCTGACTCCTGGCCCAGCTCTGGCTCCGAGCTGGAGGGCACAGCTCCTCTTTCCTTCCCAAGCTCCCGTTCCTCTCCAGAGAGCGTCACCTTCCATGACCATGGACAGGTTCCCCGAGGAAGAGGCTGGCACAAAGGCACTCCAGGGTGGCCTGGCCATCTGAAGGAGGGAACAGTGCAGCATGTGGGCCACATGTGGGCCACCTGCTGTCCCTGGTCGCTGGACCAGCTCCTGAGGATCCTTGCAGCTGGCAGGGAGGTGACGGAGGGCCCGGGCACAAAAGGCCACTGCCGCCCGTTGACAGCAACCAGTGAAATGCCTCTCAGAGAAATAGCCTCTGCCACTTCCTGTGGTGCAAACACTCGCACCATGGCCCATCTGGGCCACCAATGTAATGCCACTGAGTTCCGAGTTGGGGAGAGGTGTGGGTGTACCTTGTCCCACGTGTCCCCTGCGAAGGTGCAGAACAGGAGAATAACCTCAGCGCCCGAGGTAAGAGTGGAACGTCATAAAATAAGTAGGAAGTGAGGAGTTCTGAGTATTCCTTGGGCTTTGAAATTTTAAAATTCGATGATAAGCTTTGTATACTTTACCTTTGAATAACAACTGGGTCAACAACTAACTTGCAAAGTTCCTGGAGGGTGAGCGCGGGCTCTTTTGAACTGAAACATCTGAGCCTGCACATCCTGGACCGGAGTCCTCAGGGCAGAAGCACCCTTGTGTCCCATCCGGGACCTGACCTTGCCCCAGGCGGCAGAGGGGCATGGGTTCTCCTTGGAGGAGCCGGGTCGCCCGGCAGCTCCCTCGCTCGACGCGACGCGCGCCCAGACAGAGATCTCAGCCTGTGCTTCTCCCTCCTAGAGACTCCTTGTCTGGATCCAGGCGGTGGCCGAGACCTGGCCTGGCCAGGAGGCGGGGGAGCCATCCACGTCGGAGGACACTCTGCCCGTCAGCAATGATTCGGGCGTGTGCTGCGAAAGTGACTCAGAGGCCGTCACCAGCCTGTCGGAGCCCGCCACCCCTGACGCCGGGGGCCCCGCCTTCTCCTCGGGGCTGGAGCTGGAGCCGGAGGAGGACGGGCTGAGCTCCCCGGCGGCCTCAGAGGCACCGCTGTCGCGTGGAGGCCCCGCAGAGGCCATCAGGGAGCACGAGCGGTGGCTGGCGGCTTGCATCCGGGCGCTGGAGAGGGAAGTGGCAGAGGAGGAGTTGGCCCAGGTGGACAGAGCTGTGGACGCCCTGGACCACTGGCAGATGTTCACGGGGCGACTCCCAGCCACCAGGCAGGACCTGCCTGGTGGCAGAGATAGCGCGGGGGTTCTTCGCAAGGCTCTGGGGCACAGGTTCTGCTCCCTGCGGAGGAAGCTGAGCACGCGTAAACTCTCCCGAGTGGAGGCATCCCCCTGTCACTGGGAGGGGGACGAGAATTAGCCTAGAGGGGCCTTCCGCCCAGGGCAGTGTCAGCGGCCGGTGTCCCTTTCCCTAGGTCACTGGTCATCCCCGTGCAGTGACCGGAGGCCCAGTGGACCCACCGGGGATGGAAGGGAGGGGTCCTCTTGAGAAACGGCGACATCTTTCAGGTGGCTCTTTCAGCCGGTGTCCAGGCCGGTGACCCACAGGTTCTGGCCACCCCTCCTCCGGCACAACCAGGCTTGGCCGTGGGGGCCGAAGCCCCCAGACCGCAGAGGCAGAAGGAAGCCACGTGCCTGTCTCCTTCCGGGCGGGGGCTTGGGCCTGCTGAGTCCTGGCTGTCATTCATAGCCGGGCTGGACTGGCCGTCCCAGGCGCTCAGACTGGGGGTGGCCCGAGGACACACGGCCTCCATTACTGCAACCAGCTTCCAAGGATGACACAGGGTCTCCCCTCAAAGGGGGAAGCCATGGGGTTTTGTTTCTGTCGAAAATGTCACACACACACACATGAAGGGTCACTTTCTGTGGCTCGAGTGGCATTCGATCCTTAGGGACTTCACGTGGGCACCTCCGTCAGAGTTCGGGGTGTGCCATTTCTTCTGACAAGTGCTGCAGGAAAGGAGGGTGTCTATTTGAAGGTGAAAGGCACCGTTGGACACAGGTCCTTCTTCTTCCCTGAGGCTGTGGCTCACAGCCGGGATCTGACAACAGATGTTCTGGGGACAATTTCCTGACAAAGGTGGCTGTGCTATCAGCACCAGCTGCACCGTTAGGTCAAGGTGGTATTATCCAAATCATCTGTGTCTTCATTGACTTTTAGGGGGGATGAGATGTCTAGTTCTGTCCATTGTGAGAAAGGTATTGTTTTCGCAGCCATGGCGGAATGTTTTATCGATATCGCCCTTTAATTTTGTCAAATTTCGCTTCGTGCATTTCGAAGTTGTTTACATCCAGGCGCATTTGACATGTTTTCCTGATGACCTGGCTCTTTTCTGATGGGTTGTCCCGTGTCCCAGCCAGGTGGCAGGGTTGGAGTTGCAGGGAAAGAAGCTTCTGCTTCTGACCCAGAATCCTTTCCGGGTGATGAGACAGGGACGCAGCTCTTCTTCCCATCCGGAAAGGGGCAGGAACAGGCAGCCTGGACGTCTTGTGGGTGAGGAGCTTATACAGTTTTGGGGGCCTTCTAAGAAAACCCAAAATAGAAATACAAGATTAGAAGGGGCTCAGGCAGGTGAGGCACACCGAAGCATCCTTATGACTTTGGCACTGGTGAGGCCGGACCGCAGGGTCCAGAAATGCAAAGGGATGAGTACCTGTTGGCCTGAGATGCAGCTCAAGACAGCACGAGTACCCTCTTCCATCCCTGCTCTCTTCTGTGTAGCTTCAAGGAGGCACTGCGATGGCTCTCCAGCAGGTCACTGGGACGACGAGAGGCTCCAGGCCTTTCAGAATGTGACCGAGGGAGGATGCCAGGAGGGAGCCTGGCGGGAGAACAGAAGGCCACGGTCAGGGTGTTGGCTGCATACAAACCCAAGACTTCGTGGCCTAAAACTGCAACAGTCTAGTTAGTGAATCTGTAATTTGGGCAGAGCTTGGCGGGGAAGGTTTGCCGCTGTGGCTCGGCCGGAGGGCTTGCTCAGGGGGAGTTGGCTAGGGGCTCAGACAGGGCCTCAGGCCTCGGTTCCTGCCCACGTGAGCCCCTTCAAGGGGCCTGGGCTTCCTCACAAGATGGCAGGAATTATGAGAGGGAGTCGGAGGGGCGCTCCGTGGCTTTTCATAATTCAGCCTCAGAAGTCAAAGCGTCACTCTCTCCAACCCACGTACTTTACTGAGGCAGTCACCAGCCCCACCCAGGTTCCTGGGGAGGGGACAGGGCAAGGTTTTGGAGGAACGTGTGAGATAGGAAAATATCACGGTGGCCATATTTGAAAAGTCTGCCCCAGTCAGCGTTTGCTGCATAGATGTGGCTATCACTCCTGCCACATAATCTTACCTGTTTTCCAATTTCCTTCTATCTACTGTAGAAGGTTAATCCCTGGAACGATGTACGAGTAAGCAGAGGCGGCAAAACACAGCAATCAGCCTGGCTCAGACCGAGGGTGGGGGCTCATCAAGTGACATCCATGCCAGGGCGGTTATTCTAGATCCTCAACCCCGACTCTCTGTGCCGTGTCCTTGGACCTTCAACTGTGATGCGTATCCCAAAACAGTGTTTTGAAGTCAGAATCACCAGACCACTAGGAGAAATTTTATCCACAGCCTTCACCCGTTACAGATGGGAATGAAATTCCTTAAGATGGCTGCAGGGAGGACCCTTTTGAAATATAAACTTTAAGAACAGAAATAAAAGTTTCATATACTAGCCCTGGGCTCCGTTCATGGTTAAGAGTGATTTGGGACAGTCACCATGGGAAGAGCTGAGACAGAGGAGACCTCGAATGCTGCCTCTTCTGGTAAAGTCAAGCCCTTGGAACCTTCTAGATTCTTCAAGCCTCAGACAGTACACAGCTGAGCACTGTAAGAGCTGAACCGAGCTATTCAGAGATAATTGTTTCTAAGAAACCAGCAGCCATGTTTCTTTAAATTTTAAAAAATGTGCCAAGTTGGCTTAATTGCTTTCTCTTCTCTTTATCTGTCAAGTTCCGGAATTCATAAGGATAGGCCTTCCATCTTGACAATGGCCTCTCCTCCAAGAACCTCACAGGTTTAGGTAGGTCAAATCGGAGGAGCTTGAACAGAGCTAATAAGATTTGAGAGCCGTGACATACGTGAGCTGCGTTGCTGTGAGTGTGTGAGGCAGGGCTGGGGAAGGCGGCCGTGCCTCCTAAGTAGCCAGAACACACAATTCCCGGCAGAGTCAGGGTGAGAAACAGCCCTCGATGGCCTTCCTGCCTCTCAGCCCTTACCCTCTTCTCCGCCGCGGCCCGAGGGCATCATCAGAGGAACGAGAGAATCATTCCAACTCCTGCCCACCGTGTGAGCCCTGGAAAGTGAGTTTGGTTTCCAAAGCATAGGTGTGTGGGCGGGTGGGTGGGGGGTGGAGAGGGGGGTGGCCTGCTCATGCTGTCCCATGGGACATCTGGTTCAGACTCTTCCGTGATGAAAGAAATCTCCAAATGGCTTAAAAAAATAAACACGCGATGGCTTAGTCAAGGAGCTCATGGTGAAGCGAAAATCCAAATTTAGATCCCACCAAGTTCAAAGAGGATGCTAGAACATTCCAGGGATACACCCACATAGAAGAGGGCCACTCACAGTGCCAAGAGGAGCCACCTCGAGACCCAAGGGGCGGGGACGGCCAGGAATGAGGGAGGGTCCCGGCTCTGCCCCACTCCACTTGGATGGGCGGAGCCTCCCTCGTGGTCACCGCAAGCACCAGGGAAGCTTTCACAGCCATCAGCCTCGAGTCTCAAAATGACATGCAAGGGAGACACCTTTGTCCCCACATTACGGTGGAAGCCGAGATCTGGTCAGCACGGAGCCCAGGAGTGGTAGGGCCGAAGCCCGGGTGCAGTTTGCTCTCACGGGAGCCCCGTGTTCTCTCCGGTGCCACGCTGGAGACATCCAGCAGGAAGGAGCGTAAGGACGGAGGCATGAGGACTCGGGGAGCCACACCCCGATCCCCGAGCAGCCCCTCGCCCAGCTCTTGTCCGGGGTTCTGATGACCAGGAAGCTGTGGCAGCCGCGGCACTTGTGGGCTCTCCGAGGACGGCGGGGTGGGTGGCCGGCGCTCTAAGGTGAAGATGCCAACCCAAACAAGCCGGAGCTGCCGGGCTGTGTCGATCTGTTTGTCTAAGGAGGGCGAGTCCCCCACAGGAATATTTTTATCCTGTGAAGTCGGGGATGAGGGCCTCACAAAGAGGTGCGGGGACCTGCCCTGGGCCTGCCTACGTGAGCGCGTGCAAACAAGGCCTGCCTTCTGCGTCTGGGGAGGGACCCCGCAGGCCAGCCCACCCTCGGGAGCCGCTTGCCCACAGGCTGTGCCTGGAGCTGACGCCTCAGGCAGGAGTGCATCTGTGGTGGGCCCCGAGGGGCTGAAGTACCCAGAGGACCTGGCTTCAAGGACGCCCAAGGAAAAGGTACATTTATGGCCTTTAGAGCAATGGGTTGTGGAAGATAAACACTGCAGCGTCATCTAGGAAACACCCCCACTTTACTGTAAAGAACCAGGCCTTCTGGAAGCTGCGAGAAGAAATGTAAATAACTGGTGGAAATGGCTAACAAAGTCTTCCTTTTCTAACATCATACACCATCACCTTGATTAATGAGAACCCAAAATAACTGAGATCTATTTTTGAACTTGGCCTCTTGGGCAAGGAGTCACATGAAAACAAGCTGATGTCAAGGGTTTATTTTAAAAAGCAATTTCCAAGAAACGTCCTGGGGTCACCACATGTCCAGTCCAGCCCCCCCCCCCCGGTTTTCCCCATGATGGTCCAAAGCAAACCACATATCCATCAGCAGCGCGGCTTGCCCCCAAGGTTGAGAGGACCCAGTCCACAAGGGCCAACAGAAGCATGGTCTTGCTATGGTGCTCAGGCTGGTCTCAAACTCCTGGCCTCAAGCAGTCCTCCTGCCTCAGCTTCCCAAAGCACTGAGATGACAGGTGTGACCCATTGTGCCCAGCCTGTCCCGTTGATAACCTGAGTGCTATCTTCTGTTCGTCATGGCATTCCCCACACTTACCAAGTTTGTTCTGTGAGCATCTCTCACTGGCCTGGGATTAGTGGGAATGAATGAGGACTCTGTGAGGTGTTCAGCCAGACTCTCAGGCCCGCTCACAGTGGTGTGGGCACTTACTCCCCTACTGTGTGGAGAGAGGCGCCCAGCAGCGGGTTCCCGGGGCAACCTCAGCCCCATTCTGAGCCAACCCCTCCTCAGTCAGGCTCTTGCAACCGAAGGTGCTTTCCTTTTCCTTCCTCTGACACCTGTCCGAAGAGCTCAACCTCAAACACAATGTGAGGACCCCTTCTGTGCAGGTTCGACCGCGTCCATCCCCAGGGACTGATCTCCCTGGCT